CTTGGTCCGACAGCGGACCTTGGAAAACCTTGAGTCTCGTATGACAGCACTTGAGCAGCGGAACGAAGAGCTGCAGGCTAAGGTAATTAGCCTCGAACAGTCCCAGTTGTCTGCCTCCCGCCCTCCTAACCCTCGATCTGCTATAATCCCAACCTCTCAAGCCAACACAGCCCTCGTGCCAAGGGCAAGCGGAACCGTGGCAAGCGCAGGAACCGGCGCCAGCTCCTCGAGCGGCAGCACCGGCAGTTTTGCGCTGGTCATGGTCCTGAATGCAGGGACATCAGCCCAAAACGCCGCAGTCCCTACTAGCGTTCAATACAGCGGTCCCATGGTGGATAAGCGGGCGGCCACGCTGCCGTCCAAGTACGACGGGAAGGCAGACGTCACCTCTTGGATTAGTTCCATGAGGTCGTACTTCGAGGTCATGCGGACACCGCAAGAGGACCGAAGTATGATCATGAGGACTAATACTGAGCTCGCCGTACGAAACCACATTGAGCTCCAAGCTGTCGCAGCAGGCTGTGAATGCATAGACCTGACTGATTGGCTGAAGGTCACCCCTGTCCGCGCCCTTGAGGATCTTCTCCTTGACCGGTACCTAGATAAACATGTTGCGCTTAAGGCTAGGCTGAAGCTTGAGGCCCTCAAGGGACAAACATGGAGGTCATCCATGCAGGCTTTGGAACAACACTTGACTGGTCTGTTCACCACTCCGGATCAAGGAATGACTGACGTATCTTGTATGGATGTAGTCATGGGAGTGGCCCCTAAAGAATACCTCTCCCTGCTAGCACTCAAGGACCATGCCACTTGGCGAGAGCTCATGAAGGACCTAGTCGACCTAGAGGCCAAGGACCTCGCCAGGCGCAAGAAGGCGCCCGCTGCAGGTGGGAAACCACAACGCAAGCGGTTTGGAAGCAGCAACCAGCTTGCACTGCATGATCATCGGGAGGCTGACGATCAGTCCTATGCGGATGATCTGTCTCTAGATGACGATCTAGAGCCGGACTCCGATACGGGCTGTTCCACATCAGCCATTGAGTGTGATAGAAATGATGATGAGAAACTTAATGCGTTCAGAAAGACTGCTTCAAATAAGGGGCCTTACCGTGGTTCAGGTAAGGGAACTGTCTTACACCTTCCCAAAAATGCTAAGATCCCTGAGAAACCGGAGGACGCTTCCACCAAGCCTTGGGAAGCTCTCCGCATCATTCAAAAGGAATGGGAAAGAAGATCCAAACTGCGCGTATGCTTGCATTTTCAAAAGCCTGGGCATGCTGTGCAGGATTGCTATCGTCTTCAGGAAAACAGGCAAGGGTCGTAGAAGAGTCATCAGCACTCTCTACAACAAGGGAAGCTGAGCAGTCAATTGCAGGCCCTTCCGAGGAGCCTGGATCTAGCCAGCAGCTTGCTCTTGAAGCCGGAACTAGTGCTGATTCCAAGGCTGGTGCAGTCCAAGTGTTATACACTGAGCCTTGGGAGGAGTCTAAAGAAGTTGACTTCCACGCCCACATGGAGCATTGGCTGGAGCTAAAGCAGCAACGCCGTGTTCAAGGGAGCGTGGAGCTGAGTTTCTTTAAAAAGGGAGCGTGGAGCTGACTTTCTTTAAAAAGGGACCGTGGAGCTGACTTTCTTTGAACTACTCATTAATCGTCGATACATCCGTGTGCTGATTGACAGTGGGTCAACCACTAATTTCTTCTCTCCGAACGGGATTCGTAAGGCGGGCCTGGGTATGAAGCAAGTGGAACTGCAGAACCCTTGCCGGACTAAGGTGGGCAACCAAGAGGTTGTCACTTCCACTCATGCTGTCAAAGGTGTGCGCATCACCTTTGACAAAGACCGCATTGTCACACATGAGCTGAATTTCTCTGTCCTGGATAAGTGTCCTTTCGACGCGGTCATTGGCTTGGGCTGGCTAAAGGCTCATTGCCTAAGGACCACGTGGGCAGACAATCAGTTCGTGGTACTTGATGCCAAGGGGAACGAGCGTACCATCTTATTAGATGAGACGCGCAAGTCCCCTATGACTCTTCCAAGTGCTAACAAATTCTGCAAGTCAGTGCGCAGGCGCAAGGAAGCTGAGTTTGTACATATAGCCTTTGTAAAACAACTCCATGTGCCTTCAACTTTTGCTGCATTTTCTACCTCAGTAAGTAACTCTACTTCTAATCCATCTACTTCTATTGTGAATAATCCTTCTACTTCTAATCCGGTTGTAATTGCTGTAAATTCTCAGTCTAATTTTCTTTCTCCTGATAAGGATGATCCTCTATCGGAAGTCCCAACAAACATTCGCCAACTATTGGATCGATTCCCTGAAGTTTTGGCCGAACCTCGTGGAGTTCCCGAGCGTCCGGTCAAGCATAAAATCGAGATAATAGAGGGGAGTGTTCCTCCAAAGGGCTGCGTCTACCGTATGGGACAAGGCGAGTTGGAGGAATTGAGACGGTAGATTGATGATATGATTGACCGTGGATGGATTAGGCCCAGTGAGTCTGAATTTGGTGCACCTGTCTTTTTTGTGCGAAAGAAAGGAGGCAAACTTCGGATGTGTATTGACTATCGTGGCCTCAATCGGATCACAAGAAAGAATGCTTACCCTTTGCCTCGCATAGATGATCTGCAAGATGTGGCAATTGGATGCAAGGTCGTCTCCAAGATCGACATCAAATCTGGTTACCACCAGATTGAAGTTGATCCGAGTGACCAGCACAAGACTGCATTCAAGACACGCGATGGGCTGTACGAGTTCATTGCTATGCCCTTCGGTCTTACGAATGCACCTGCCACCTTTCAGTGCCTCATGGACAGAGACTTCGCCATCAACTCAACAGGTTTGTGGTTGTGTACCTTGATGATATCTTGATTTTCAGCAAAACCATGGAGGAGCACCTCAAGCACCTTGAGGAAGTTTTGCGGGTTCTCAAGGAGGCGCAACTGCACCTCAACTTGGAGAAATCTGAGTTTGGGAGGGACAGCGTCATCTATCTTGGGCATCGGTTGTCTGCAAACGGCCTTGATCCGGAGGCAACCAAGGTTGAGGTCATCCGAAATTGGCCTCAACCGGCAAACGTACGCGAACTGTGTTCTTTCCTTGGTCTGGCCTCATATTACCAGAAGTTTGTGCCCAAATTCTCTGTCATTGCTCACCCTCTCTCAAGACTAACCAGCAAGAATGTTGCTTATGCATGGTGTGAGAAGTGTGAGACTGCGTTCCAAGCCTTGAAAGAGGCATTGGTGAGTCATCCTGTGCTTCGCATTGCCAATCCCAACCTCACTTTCGTAGTCACTACGGATGCAAGCCAGTTCGGGATTGGTGCTGTGCTGCAGCAAGATGATGGTGATGGCATGCGTCCGCTCGAGTACTACAGCAAACGCATGCCCAGCCATAAGGTAGCTACTTCCACATATATGTGTGAGCTTTACGCCCTGCGCGAAGCCCAAGGTCTACTCTGATCATCAGACCTTGCAGTGGATTCAGACACAATATGAACTCTCTCCTACATTGACCCGCTGGTTGCATGACATTGATGTCTACAGCTTCGAGTTGAAACATATGAAAAGTTGTTATAACCGGGTTGTTGATGCATTGTCCCGCCATCCAGAATTCTTGACTTGCCTTGTGGGTTCATACGACCTCCGAAGGAAACTGAAGGAGGATCTGGTTGAACACACCGCCAAGGATCCGGACCTCAATCCCATCCTTGAGCAGCTCAAGGCTGACCCTAACAGTCAGCCCGATTTTCATGAATGCGAGGGTCTTTTTTTTTTTTTTTTTTTTTTTTTTTTTTTTTTTTTTTTTTAAACGGGCCTAGTGCCCAAGGCTGATATTACCAATAAGAAGATTGCTGTCTCTTATACACATCTAGATGTGTATAAGAGACAGGCCTTGCACTTTTTTTTTTTTTTTTTTTTTTTTTTTTTTTTTTTTTTTTTTTTTTTTTTTTTTTTTTTTTTTTTTTTTTTTTTTTTTTTTTTTTTTTTTTTTTTTTTTTTTTTTAAACGGGCCTAGTGCCCAAGGCTGATATTATCAATAAGATAATTTAGGCCGGGGTCCTCACAGTCTACCCGGAGTAACCGAACCCAGCTTGCTGAGAACCGGGCTCAGCGTCCCACCTCTGAAACTTATGATTATGATGATAGTAAATGCTGATAGAATAACTACTGATGATGATTAGTATATCAGCCCTTCTGACCTCCTACTCTTGGATCAACTCCTAACCCCCCTGTATCAGGACATTGTACTTAGAGACAATACCAGCCTAACCGATCTCCTCCATAGTTGTTCTGTTCTCACCGCATAGCAGCCCCCCCTGTTCGCCACTCGATTGCCTTCCTCCCTCGGCAAACCCCAAATCTCTCTAAAAGGCCTCATGCCCCCGCCAATTGCAGGTTACAGGGCGACGCCCCAGCTCCGGCCAGCGTCGTTCTGGCATCAGCAAACCAGGGGCATAGAACAGAACAACTCAGTTGACATCCGTCATGGTTCGACCATCTCTCAATTCTATGTCCCAGATGCGAAAGAAGGCTAGATGCTGTCCAAAGCCAGAACACCAGAATGCCTAATATAACCTACAACACTTCTGACCTCCTAGTCCTGATACCTTCCTAACCCTCTCTATACCAAGATATTACATCTTAGAGATAATACCCTCCTAACCAAAATTCTGCCATAACTGACCTGTTCTCGCCACCTAGACTATCCCTGCCCCCCTAGGTTGTAAGGCAGCTCCCCCTGTTCTCCACTAGATTGCTTTCCTCCCTCAGCAAATCCCCAGATCTCTCTACAAGGCCTCACGCTCCTGCCAAATGCAGGTTACAGGGCGACACCCCAGCTCCGGCCAGCGTCGTTCCGGTATAGGCAAACAGGAGCACAGAACAAATCGACACAGCAGAAATCGATCTAGATTCGATCCTCCCTGAGATCCAATATCCTAAATAAAGAAATGACTCAGAAGCCACCAAGAAAATCAGAAACCAGAAAGCGTCTTATTTCTCAGAAGATGATGATACGATACCTAAAATTAATCTCCCCCCCCCCTTCATTCCACCCTATCCCAATGCTGCCTACGCTGAAACGGATTACCCTCATTACGGGCATCCCATCACAGCCCCAACCTAGGACAGTACCACCGTCCCCCCCCCTTTCCAAAAGGGCATACAGTTCCCTCCCAAAGTATACCCCTTCACACCTCTTACCTTAGCCTGCCCCCGCTGGTGTGAGTAACCCCACCGCCAACCCCAGAATAAGGCAACCCTCAGAATCTGCTCACACCCCCTCCAGGGCTACACTTCCCACCTTGTGTCACCCCTGCAAAGTGAAGCTCTCCCCTGAACCTCCACTTTCCAGTGTTTCCACCTATCAACATTAGACTGCGAAACTCAGAGAGGAGACATGTCAACTATTATTTCGAAATACCAACTTATACTAGAGAAAAATTCCAGTGATTTTCGAAAAAGAAAATGAAACGGAAAATGAAAATCGAAAATTAGGACTTTAGGCATTAAGAAATTGATACATAAACAAAATTTCGAAATATTGTGATATAGAATCAGGAATTCAGGAATTCAGAAATTCAGAATTTAGGATTTTTAGAAAATGAAAAATTAAAACTTACCAAAAAATAGGTATACAAAATAGAAATTTTGCAATGATTTTAAGGTATGTAAAATACCTTTTTATGCTAATTATATGGAAAATATGGAAAATGGAGAAAAACGACCAATCATGTTTGAGACTGTAGATAGGAAATTAGTTAAGAAATTAATTTAAGAAAATTAACTCAGAAATTAATTTGAGAAAATTAGCTCAGATCCTAATAAGATTATAATAAGATAATACTATTATTACATTATTAATAGATTAAATGGCACCTATGCTCAATGTTGTTATTAATGCAGATAAAGATGATAACAATAGGATGATGACTGCCCTAATCCAATGAGCCACTGTTGTGAGTCAAACAAAAAGCCTTCCCCTGCCCCCCTCCTTCCCCGCC